GTGGCGGGAGAACGGCCGGGCGCTGCGTGGCGGGAGAACGGCCGGGGACCACGTGGCGGGTGGAAAAATGGCCACGGACCACGTGTCAGGGTGGAAAAATGGCTGTACCCCGAGGCGGAGTTCGCACATCGAGGTAAATCTTTGCGGCTGGGGCTGGTCGTAACCCGAAAAGTTCGTTAGTAGAGGCATTTGTATCCCAAGGTACCATTGTAGTTGGTGAGGATAGAGAGAGAGATTTAACCTTTAAAAAACAATTACATATTCATTTAAAGCAGGAGCATCCAAATGTGTTGTATTGCTTCAGATAGACTCCAGCCTCTACTAGTGATGAGGGACAGAATCTCTTCTGTCACATGTCCTGCCATCATCAGAACTAGTTTGGCTCTTCAGCATTTCGGTATGAAATCTAAGCATCTTAGCTGCCAGCATACTTCATCAGTGCAAACTCAATTCAGATTTATTAATCTTGTGCTAACCAGGAGCTTTGGCAATGACAGCTTAGGAACCCATAGTTAAGATAAGGTACCTAAATTCAGGAACAGAATCATTTTCTGCCTATTCCTCATCAAGGTCTAAAACTGGCTATCAGGATTAGAAAATCAGTGGTGTAACTATAAGACCCACAGTGTCTTATATTCCCATGCTATTCCCAATTTTTATATATTAAACCACCTATACTGAACTGAAGCCAGAGAAAATACGGATTATGAGCCTACTGATGAAAAACAAGAAACCAAAGGAGGTACACACGTAGCATAATATGTGGCACTGCAGCTTGTGCATGGACCATCACTTCCCAGAATATCTGTGTGTAAAGACCATGAGAAGAATTGTTTAGCAAACTTCTGAGCAATGGGGTTATTAATCACAGGATGGGTTTGCTTCTCCCAAAGTACTACTGTGATATAAAGAGGCTCTGTTCTGTTAAGATCTCTTTCCTTTTTATTTTTGTTCCATGTGAAATGTATAATGGAATCTGGACATCTGTTCCCTGTCTATATTCTCTTAGCAAAGGCACAATCTAACTTCTCTTTAAATGTGAAAACATCCATTTGCAAGTGCATGAAGAGACAGACTCTTCCTACCATTATGTTTACTGCTGATCATTTTCATACCCTTTAGAGAACATCACTTACTTGAGCAGTCCGCTATAGATCTGGCCCCAATAATTGTTGTTGTTCCATAAAATGGGCAAGATAAGCAGTAGGACTTTCCTGGATCAGGTTGGTAATAATCCCTGGGACAAGGATGGCATGGCATTAAACCAGAACGTGAGAATTCTCCAGCTGGACAAGGAACTGCAAAGCACAAAACAAAATCTTCCTTATGCATTGATAGACCATTTTTCCTCCTGCATGCATTATTTTATAAAAGACCAAGGCCTCCTTCAATCAATGGAAAGCTTTGGATGGATGTAAATCATATCATCAACCAAGTGGATTTAAATGCTCCAGAACCAGATTATCATACCAGATCTCTGTCATTTAGGTAACATTTACTGTAAATCCGAATCTTATACATATTTATTCAGAAATGTTACTGAGTTTGCACCACAATGCAAAATTAGCCTAAAATGAAATAAACAGGTCAAATAAAAAGACAATCAAATAAACCTACCTACATTTTCTGGGAGTTCCAAATTTCCTATCCTACAGCCACAATCTTAGTTTTTAGAAGGCCAAAATATCAAAAAAGAGAGTAGGCATGTTTTTCTGTTTTACATACCTTGAAGTTACAAACTACTGACCCCAAAGCTGCACCATATACCAAATATTTGATATTTGCCAAATATGGTAGCCTGTTCGTTTATTTGTTAGATTTATATCCCACTTTTCCTCATCTTTCTAATTTTGCACTGGCAACAAAAAGAGATTTATTTCCCAAAGGACAAGCAAAACTACTTTCAAGTTTGGCCAGAACTTGGCAAAAAGTAATATTACTTTTCCCCATGTTTATATTATGCAAGGAAAGAAATAAAAACACTAATGACATATGGGAATGATCTGCTATTGTACCAGCACACTGTTGGAAACTACAAACTGATGTTTGCTAACAGAAAAAAGTACTCTGTCTAAACAGAGGCCTCAGGAGGTTGTTTCTTTAAAGTATGGCTACAGTTCAAATCCTTTGTGCAGAAAATTAAGGTCCGCTAGATAAATAGGATAGAAGACAGACATAATGCGTGCTACTACTTAAAAATATTTGAGTTATGCAGAGATCAGGAAAGGAGGCCGATACTGCACAGTATTTAGCAACATGTTGTTTCCCGGAATTCAAATGTCACAAACCTCCACATGCTGATATATCCACAGCTCCTCTTTTGACTGTTGACATATTTTCTGGGCAAGAAAGGCAGTGCTTAGATCCAGTTGTAGGCTGATATTTGCCAAGGGGACACGATTCACAGATCTCAAGGCCGTTTGGAGAATAGGTTCCCGGCTTGCATTGAGCTAAGTATATGAGAACAGTACAACCTAATTAAGAATCTCTAGTTTAAAAAAACGTATCAAGTCCAAGCAGCTAAAAAATAAAAGCAAAAAAACAAAAAAGACCGGTAAACCAAAGCAGAACAACAGCATCTACAATGATGTGTAACTGGTTATTTATAAGCCTAGAATAACTGCATATTAGCTTGCAAAATACAATTTGCACAGAGCATCTGCCACAAATATAAATATGTTTACTGCACAAGCTGAGTGTTTTGTTTAGAGCACTCCACTGAAACCACAAACCACTCTATCATAAAAATATGAAGCACAGAGATTAATGAAGCTTTTTTGATGATTGGCAACCTATTATAATAAAAACTGATATAATGATTCAACTGACCATTACTGAGAAAAAAAGAAGAAAAAAGTATAAATTATAAAACTTGTGAAAAGCATGTAAATTATTATAAGGATCTGATTGTAACTGTTTTAGTCTGTTATTCTAACTACCTGTTTTAAAAACTGAATCATATTTGATGCTGTAGTGATTCAAATGGTATTTTTATCATCCTGAACTGCTCTGGGAACCATTTCTGTAAAAGGCACATAATTATTTAAGCAAATACATTTGCACAGGAAGACTGATTTTAATGCAACTTATTATGGAACCACAATAAAATAATTGCATTTTTTGTCTGTTTCCTTTGGGTAGTGGCTTTCATTTCCACTGAAGCTTTCTTTCCAGAAATTGTCAATTTGTTTACTCCTAATGATGTTTTTCTCTATTTGAGAATATATGACATACTGCTTCTACTTTGTATTCTTTGGAGAAATTGGATATTCCTTAAAATTGCATTTTATTCTCTGTAGCCTATAATTTTCAAGTACTTTCTGTGAAACAGAGATTATCTTGCTGGCCACTTTTGAAACAAACCAGATTAGACGCATTGATAGTCAGAACAGGTTTTATCTCTCTCTTTCTCTTTCTCTCTCTCTCTCATCTCTCTCTCTCACACAAAAACATTTTTCTATAAAGTTGTGGTATTTTATAAACAAATGGAGTCATTTTTATAAAAACAGAATGTTCTTTAATATAAATTTAAATTTTGTTTCTAAATATAGGTGTTTTAGATTCAGCATCTCCAACTGCTCAAGAATAAACATGATTTAAGCAAGCCAAAGCATTTGTTTTCATGCTTAAATATTTTAAAAAAATACTAGTTCCAGCACTAGATAATTAAATACTATTATATGACTGTAAATTTCTCACCTTTGCATTCTGATAAGCTTCTGGAATGGAGATATTCAGTATAGGTGTTAGATGGACAATTTTTACATTCCAGCTGTCCTTCCTCATCTTGATATGATCCAATCCAGCAACTTTCACATGCATGATGTTCCAGAGAGTAGTAAGTACCCAAAGGACAGTTAACTGGAATTTAATTGGATAAAATATGGGATAAAATGTTGGGTGTGGAGCAATGATTGTGCAATGTATACTCTGACCTAGTTCTTGAACAGCAGATGGCAATGTAATCTGTATCTGCATTATCACAGACATAGTTCTTACGTGTACAAAAACTATATGAGCTACATGAATGATTGAACAGATAATTCCAGATTATCTATGTGTTAAAATATTCATAACTGCTGAAATCCAACTAGTTGTGTGCTATTGATAAAAGACTTCTATTGGCAAAGGGGAAAGAAACAATTTTCCTTCTTGCTTCATGTAATCACACTGGGCTCCACCAAAGCTATTCTGGAGGATTCATGCAACTTCATGCAGTACAGGAATGGATGAGTATCATTGGAAAAAACGGGTTCCCACCTCCTCCCCCATCCTGCTGAAAGAAGCCTTCCCTAAGTGGCAGGAAATTAGTTGGAGAGCCAAACTTTTCCAAAGTGGAAAAAAATAATGATAAATTAGCATCAACAGCAAGTTTAAGACTGATATTCTACGATTCTTTGGATTCCTCCTTAAAAGTTGTACACATGCAGTAACTCCAAACGGATAGCCTTCTGAATCTAATACATTAAATCAGTGTTGTCCAAACTTGGCCACTTTAAGATGAGTGGACTTCATCTTAAAGTGGCCAAGTTTGGACAACACTGCATTAAATGAACTGAGATTAAATTTACTTACCACACATTCGCCCCCGTAGAACAGAGCCTGGTTTGCAGAACAGAAAAGCCCTTTCAGCTTCTAGAGAATTGGTGTCAGCTATAAGCAGTTCAGAAGACAACTGAAAAGAATACATGGGATGCCTGTTGAGAGTTCTTTTCAATCTGTTTGTGATCTTCTCTAGGGTTCTTAGGAGGCGCTGCTGGTTTTCTGATTCCAGAGAATCATTGCGTTTATCAGGCAGGGGTACGCTAGCTACAAGTAAAAAACAAACAATCATCTTGTGCATAGAGGCATTACAAAGTTAATTGCCACAATGCTCTCTACAAGCACACAGAAGAATATAAAAATTCTTCAACGTGCAAGGTGTTAGGCATAACTCCTATGCATATTCTACAGTGGTACCTTGGTTCATGAACGCTTCTGTTCACGAACAATTCGGTTCATGAACAGCTCTGGTTGCAAAATTTTGCCTCCGTTCGCGAACTCCGCATCGGGTGACAAATAGGATCCGTGGCCATTTTCCTTGCCGTGACACGTGGTCGCAGCTTCCTGTAGGAAGGGGGACTCTCCCTCCAAGCAGTAACTGCCTCCCCACCCGCCTTCTTGTCCTCCACGCCAGAAGTCGCGTCGAGCAAGGTTAGCTTTC